ACTTTAGACAGAAAGTCTTCCTTCTTTCCTTTACAACTTTAAACTATCATATTAAATAGGAAGAATTGATCTAAAAAAACGACTTCAACAAAATACAGACATGCTTTATCCTATTTGGGTCCCATTCTTTCAATGTAAATTTACATATTATCCCAGTCTCAGTTTTCAAAGATGTCAAAGCATTTCTGTTTAATGTCACAACTTGATCTTTGTACTGTTTGACAAAAAAAAAAAAGGCTGTTCAAATGATAATTTCACACAAAACTTTTATAAAATATCTGACAACCATAACTAATTTAAAATACACTCAAAAACTGTATAGTTGCTGGTAGCAGAATATCTTATAGGAATTATATAGGACGTTTGCAGTTTTATTTTATCCACTTAAAGAATAAAAGCTTAGGTTAGTAGGAAATCGAATTTCAAAATAAAAGCACCACAGCAATCAGTGCCAAAATAAGAGCATTATCGATTATTACATCACGTTAAGCTTTTACATGTAAAATACAACCTGACAGTCACGTTAAGCAATATCAGCAGTAAAACTATACTAAAGTGGATATTTCCAGCTTGGATATTTTAAGTATTGGGTTATCTTTCAATGTTACGTCACAGGTAACTAAAGCGTTAGCTAACAGAAGGGAGAATAAAACGTAAATGCTGTTAGGTGGATTATGTGGGTGTTGAATTTCATAGTACACATATTTTAAAATAAATTCATAAAAATCAAAGCTAAACCAGCCTTTACATGAATAAACAAGGATTGTGTAGATCGATCTGACCTCAGTGTTAGCATGCTAGCAAAGCGGTTCACCTTGCAGGCGAATAAAAGCAGGGGATCCACAACGCTACATGTTTACTTTTATAATAGTACTGTTATCTGCTCAGTTCACAACACATCTACGATTAGCTTCTATATAACCTGCAATATGCGTCAATATTTACTAACAAAAACAAGCGGTCCACCCTACCTTATGTCTGCGGTAGAGGTTTATGAAACACAGCTTAGCAGGAAGCGGCGCGAGTAGACCGGAAGTAGTTAATAGAGCTGCAGCGCCGCGGTGGCACATCCTTATATATAACTGATAAAAAAAAAAAAAGCTTTCATAACATTTGTCTGACGGGACATATGTAACCTTACTAAATAAAATGTTTGGTAAGATTATCTGATAGTGTCTTGGTTATTTTCATGCCAGGAGAAATGATTGTAGTTGCTATTAAAACCTGAGAAATGATAACTTAATTTGGAGTCAGAATAATTTTATCATCGATAATGTTTCACACATATGGACTTAGATTTTACGGAAGAGGATTAGGGCCACTGGAAAAAATTAAAAAAGTTAACTGATTTTTTTTTTTATTTCAGTATAATATGAGGAAGAAAAAAAAATCAGAATTCTGGCTGTAATCTCAGAATTATGACTTTTCTCAGAATTCTAACTTTAATCTCAGAATTCAGACTTTTTCTCAGAATTCTAACTTTAATCTCAGAATTCAGACTTTTTCTCAGAATTCTGACTTTAATCTCAGAATTCAGACTTTTTCTCAGAATTCTAACTTTAATCTCAGAATTCATACTTTTTCTCAGAATTCTGACTTTAATCTCAGAATTCTGACTTTTTTCTCAGAATTGAAACTTTTTCTCAGAATTCTTACTTTAATCTCAGAATTCTAGATTAGGTCTGACAGCTAACAAACATGTTAGCATCAAGCCGTAGCCTTGTCTGTTTTAAAGACTAAACTAGCTCTCTTGTTTTAATTACCTTCTTTTCTTCCATTAATGAAATACCGTCACCAGGGACCCCTTGGGCACGTACAAAGTCGCCTAATTCTGTCATTTTCTGCCAATGTGTTACTGACCCTTCCAAACAACTTCCATCTTTCTCAGTGAAGCTGAGTGATCCCACATTTCTTCCTTCATGATGCCCATCTATATTAAGAGCCCAAATTCAGAGATTAGTCAGAATTCTGAGAAAAAAGGATTCTGAGATTAAAGTCAGAATAATAAATTTTATCTCATATTATATTGAAATAAAACTTCAAAATCAATTAACTTTTTAATAAATTGTTCAGTGGCCCTAATCCTCTTCCGTAAGATTTAGTGGTATGAATCAATACAGAATAAGGCAGAGTAGGATATGGCGGTTTGTTAGTTTTTTTGTGTGTTTTTTTTTTTTTTTTTTCTATGTAGTCTACAGACCAAAAGAAAACTATTATGGATAAAAAAAAGTTACTAATAACAAATTCTTCTCTGAAACAGATTATCAGCAAATATGCTGTCTAAAACGAATTTCATTAAAACATCAACATTTGAAGGGGTGAAGGAGTTTGTTCACCAAGATAAGCGACTAAATTGCGTAAAAATCTGAAGACACATTCATGCCAAGCATGAAGCAAAACTTATGAAAGGAACCAAAATAAGATAGTTCTCAGAATCTAAAGGGTAGTTTTGTATTTGGTTCATTATATCTTGCCATATTGTTTTTACCACATTGGTGCTTTTCGTCTGGCTTTTTCTACTTTATTTCTTATCGTTTTGTTTCACCTTTTTATTAGTAGATCCTGCTCAGATGTGTCTTCTCATTTTGTTTATCATTTGCATATATTTTCTTCACTAATTAATCCTCCAGTTAGCCTACATTTATTGGGTCTTCAGTTTTGTGTGATGTTTCAACCCAGTCTCATGGGAAAATGTCCCCCCACTACGTTGGTCCACACTGCAAAACGTAGTGGAGACTGGGTTGGATGTTTTCATGTCTGTTTCCTTCTTCACCTGCTACCAGATTATTTGATCAAATTCTGCCTCCTCCCGTGTGTCTCCACTTCGGCCCAGAGCACCAGAACCTGACAAGGAGTAACAACATTTAATTTCCCTTTCGATTAATAAAGTATTTTGGAATTTAATGTTTCCGAACAGAATCTAAAGTTATTTCAAGTTTCAAATAAAAGTCTTGCATGTGTTTTTGTGCACTTAAGATTCTTAAGTAGAGAATAAAAATTTGTCACAGAAGTGTCCTCCCCTCCTCTGTGAACCTGGTAATCAGGTCAAAATGGCCCTGTAATACATCATTGAAATGGATTGACCACTCACTCAAAGCCTTTTATAAAACAATAAATCTGAACTACTCTTCATTTTATTCTTGCCACCACTACAGGTATATATTTGTTTTGGAGTTTGGTAGCTTCCTGCTAAATATGAGACAGTTCTAATATAAAGAATGATCACACTGTTGGTCTATTAGTCCTGTTAGGCCCTAAACGTTTGTTGTTGATACATCTGAAAAAAACTCATCTGACCAAATGAACACTGATGGTCAGGGAAGACAGAAAATTTGCCAGATTCTCTTTTTATCTATTTCAATCTTTAAAAAAAATGTATTCATCAAACAAGGAAAGAAATATTAATTGCACTTGCAAGCTCCAACCTGTTTTTTTTTAAATCCTTCACTTGTATTCTCTCATCGTTCAATCCAGCACTGGCTTTTATAAACACACCATAGACTATTACTATATATTTTTTCCCACTAGCTTATTTCTATATTGAACTTTATGTCTTCTAATCTCATACCCAATTGCTTTTTAGTACCATCTTGAGCCCTTGGATTAAGCACTGTATCGTAAACTGTTAGTGATGCACCAACCTCCGAATCATCAGCGATATGTGATGTAGAGCAATACCTTTTTTTCATGCTTGCACTGTTCAAACAACAGGCTGAGGTTCGGGTACACGTATTTATATTACAGTGAGTGGCAGCTCCAACCTTTCCTGAAATTTCTTCTTTTTTTTGAATAAGCAATGTAATATCCAAATGTCTTCTCCAATAACCTGAGCTAGCGCTTAACATAAGCTCAAATGATGAACCATGAATATTGAAAGAAGACAAAAAAATATTACGACAACTTTTTAGGAAAAAAATACACTTTCATTATATTTTAGGGACATAAATATTCACATTTACAATCATAATCAGTGTAAGAAAGGTCTGCGATCTAAGATAATTATGTCGGATTAGCTCTTGCAGATTACTTTTTCCTTTTATCAAATGTGCCACAGAAATTATACCTTAAATTCACTGTTATTCAATTAAAGGTAGTGTTGCACCTATGCCATTTTTTTGGCCCCAATACCGATACCCGATACCTGGCTGTGAAGTATTGGCCGATACCGATACCATACTGATACCATCTGTTTAAAATTGATGTGTGAGTGTGTATATGAAGAACTGTATAATACTTGGATGTAAAATAATTGCCATCATGGCTTTGTCAAGCTGCTGCCTACCTTTGTGAAGCAGGAAAAAGACTAATAAAAAGTGAATCCAGTAGAATTTTTATTGCCTACCTGGAATGGGTGACAATAGTTGAATAAACTTTTGGCTCTCAAAATGGTATCGGTGTCATATTTGACGGTACTCGCCGATACTGATACTACCATTTTAGCCGTACCTGTGCAATACTAATTCAAATATTATTGTAACTACATCAAAATCCTTTTTTTATACAATATAAACAAACTTTATGAACAGTAATGTAAACCAAGTGACTATTCAGTATCCACAGATAAGAAAAATGTCAAAAAAAGCCTTTATCTGTTTGCATCTACCTCGCCTGCTTGTAAAATGTGCTTGCAACAATCTGGTTAAATCCTGAGAGAGCTTTTTAATTATAATTGCTGATACGGTAATTCAAAAAACATTATAATTGGAAACACCATGTCATTATAAATCCTAACAAACCAAGATGAAAAATAGAAGTTTACAACCTGCATCTGTGGTCACAGTTATTGCATCATCAGAGCTTATCGTCTGCGCCAGTTGGTATTAATCTCCATGTGAAACGGCATAAAGAATTTAGGGATCAATTGAATCAGAAAGCTTTATGATGAGCTTCACCATTATCTGTTTGGCTTAAAGCAAGATTTACAGTCTGAAAATACGAAAAAAAAAAAAAAATATGAACAAAGGAAGTAAACAATGAAAACCCATGACAGAGGTCCAGTTATTTTGTATTAACACAGAGGAACATAAATAAACATAATGTTTAAATTCAATATCCAAGTTAGAAAATATAATAAGCTGAGGGTGCAAAAGGTTTATCCAAGGGCTGTAGCATTTTGGTAGTTATGCACCTCCCTCTGGATGTCCATCACAGCTCCTTTTAGGTCTGTTTTTTTTTTTCAATCTGAAGAGGAGTCAAAAAGTGCTCTATGTTTCTGACTGAAGTCTCTTCACTCAGTTGTTGGAGGCTGATAACTGGACCTGCGTGAAACCCGATCCAATCGCTCCACAGCCACGCTCTCAAACGCCCTCCTCATCAGAGGATGCTCCTCCAGGACCTCGTTGAAGTCATCCACGCTTAAGGAATAAAGACGACAGTAGGTTTCGGCTTTAACGCTGGCCGTACGTCTGCCCTGTGTTAGGAGGCAGATCTCTGAACCAAAAAAAAAAGACTGGGATTAGCCATTGGATCAGAAGAAAAATGGACACAAGACTAAACAGTTACACTGCAAAAGATACTTTAGAATGCAAATCAACCATTTCTAAAGCAAACCAAAACAACTTGTACCTTTTTTTATGGTTTGTTAAGTTTACAATGTTTAACCCTTTAGAACCAAGAGTATCATATCTGATACATGACCTGTTGAGACCTCTGCATCATCAGTGATATTTCTTTAGCTAAAAACCCAGACTTACACAGATACAGAAAAAGTGAACAAAACATCTATAAAATATTATAAAGAAATGCCTACTGAATGACAAATGATGCAAATAAATGATCCAATTTAACCAACTCTAAATGCAGATTTTTTTCATTTGTCCGATGACAATTCTAAAAAAAAAAAGAATTTCACGAAAGTTATTTCATGGTCAAAGCTTTAAAGCATTAATTACTTCTTTATAACCGTTGTTAATTTCTAGTGAGGCATTAAAGATAAAATATGTTTCACAATGTAAAAACATTAGACATAGGAGGGATTATTTCGAAAATACTTCTAGAAATCAAAATATAGTTAAATATGATTTACCCCCAAAGTATGCTCCATCGCTGAGATTGATCTCCTTACTGCCACGCGGGATGATTGTGACGGTGCCATGCTGGATGAAATACATTTTGCGACCCAGGGTTCCTTCTCGTATTATAAAGTCGCCTGGCTGGAAAACTTCAAAGCGCAGCTTAGTCAGGATCACTGTCACAAAGTGAGGGTCGGTGTTGGCAAAGAGCGGCATGTTGGCAACGAGTCCACGGCAGTTATAGCTGACAATCTCCTGCATAAAAGAGACAAAGCATGTTGATGGAGATTACACCTTAGAAAAATTTTAATTTCATAATTTTATTTGTACTAAGTTACAGACATTTGCCCTGCTAGGAATGTTGTATTGTTTTAACTTCAAACGGGGAGAGCAAATATTTCTTTCAAGGTCTGGCCTTATGCTGCAGGTGACTGATCATCACCCGCAATAAAACTACACAAGGAACTCTCATGCTTTATCAACTACTTCTGACCCATCCTGATTTTTCTTTGAATTAGAACAATAAAAGCAGAAGACAGAGATGTTCTGACAGAGTTGACCACAGACATTAAGGGAGTGTAATCCTCCATCTAGGTCCACTCTCCTCTTCTGCAGAAAAGTAACTTGTGTTGTGTCTGTTGGTTTATTCCTGGGACAATAAGGGGTTATTCTCATTAACCCTAACACCTTAACACAGACTTTTTGAAAATTATACTACGTAAGCGTTAAAACACCTACTAGTTAGGTGATGTTAAAATCTCTTCAGGTTTCCTACATGGAATGCTACAGTACTTTTACTTAAAAAGAGGTTGTCTGATATAAGATTTAAGGTATCTTCTATCTTAGCATCCTCGACTTCCTGGCATCTCCCTCAGCACTGGGCAACCCCAGGGCAGCACGCTGAGATAACTCAATTTACTCTGCTAACATATGATTGCATGTTATGACACCCCTGCTGTCATATGGCAAAACTTGCAGAAGACATATTAGTAGTTGGACACATCACAAACAACAATGAGTCCAAATGCAGAGAGGAGTTTGAACATCTGGTGCAGTGGTGCAGAGAAGATAATCTCTGAATCAATGTGAAGACCACCAGTCCCAGAAACAGTTTCTACCTTGCAGATATTAGACTGGTGAACCCCAGCCACATTTAATTCAGCTATCTCAATTTATCTTTCTTTTTCCTAATTTTTAAATCTTCAACCTCAGTCCAAATTTTGTTGCACAAGCATGCAACGTTGAGATGTTATCATAATAAACAAATCCTTGATTCTACTCTAATCTCAACATGTTTGCTATTTAAACAGTGAAAGAACAGTGAAAGTCGCATGTCTGAAGAAAAACTCACCTCCTTTAGTGGATCGCTGAGTTCGCCCAGGATGCTGTCCTCGTCAAACATCTTGCCTTGGAATCTCTGCTCATAGTAATCATGAATCCTCTGCCTCACATCCGCTGGCAGTTTATGAAATGACATATACTGCTCCACTTGCTTATACTGCAAAAATTATATGAAACAAGGTGTGACTTAAACTTCTTTAGGTGCTGATAAAGTTCTGTGGGTCTTTATATCATGTGTTATGACTCACGTTTGCTGCCATGCACTTGCTGAATTAAATCAAAGTAATTAAAATTATCTAATATGTGTGTGTGTGTTTTTTTTTCACCTATTCTAAGTGGATTACAAACTCATTTGCACTTGCTAACAGCAGACAGTGATCTAAAACAAAGGTGCCACAATTTGCAATCATCTGCTCAGCTTTATTATGTGAAAATCCCCAGAAAAAGGTCACAGTAATGCCGTAAACCCTATTACATAATAATAATATTGTATGTAGCACTGTCTCCCTAAGTAAAGTTTGAAAAAACGAACAAGCTTCTGGTTTGGAACATAGCTGCGATATTAAACCTCAAGGGCACATTAGCATCCACATGATGCTCCTGGAATATATTATCGGTGAAACGTCAAGTGTATATGTCAGGAGGATTTAGTTTGTTGCAGAGGTGATTACCTTCTCCTGATACTGGCGATGTGATGCGTCCAAAGATTGGACCAGGGTAGTAGCATGACCCAGAAACATGGCATAGCAGGTGGCCCCAACAACCATGCTGATCATGGTAAGCCACACATCCGTCATTCCCTCTGGAGGGTTAGCGCCGTATCCTATGCATAACATGTGACTCATAGCCATAAACAAGGCGTAGGAGTACTGTATGTGCCAGGTGGAGTTCTGAAGAGGAAAACATTCAAAAGTCACAAGCTGAAACTGCAATCTAGTCATATGCATACCAAATAAGAAATTCAAGTCAATGCAACATAGTGTATAAATCATTAGTTAACCATATTTTTTTTACTGAAAGTTAAAATGAACATATTTTTCCTCAGGCCTTCTGGTGGTCTTTGGCAATTTTTCCACATATATTAATCCAATACCTCAATATTTTAAGGATAATTTTAGTCATTTAACCCCTGAAGCCACAAAATTATAGAGATAACGAATGTATGTCAGACAAGATAGAATTTTTTCTAAGTTCTTTGGCTGAATTCACAAAAAATATAATGTGTAATTCACACAGATAAAGGCAATAGCTGAAATATATGGATGCAGTTAATGATATAACTAATTAATGATATATCAGTTCCCTTCTCAGATCTTCTCTTGAGTTTTACCAAATTAAAAGGTATTATTATCGGTAAATGTTGGAAGGGTTGTGGGTAAACCTTTCTTTCACACAAACTTTTCGTTTTGGGAATGTCCCAAATTCTTCCCCTAGTGGACAGATGTGGTTAAGAAAATTCAATTTATTAAACGGCTGCAAATGGAAAAGAGTTTTAGTGTTTTTTAATTTTGGTAATATAACAACTGCTAGAAAAAAACAAGACCTCTACTTATTACAGATACTACAGGCAGTCAGTAAGAAGGCTATCTGGTGATGAAAACTTTTGATGGATTTGATGAAAAGGTATTTTGGCTTTGCTTAAGCCTGGCTTGGACTGGACTGGTTTCCCTCTTTCCTGTTTTTGGCTCTGATCTGATGATGCTGTGATTGTTTTTGGTCCTCAAAAAGTACATGTGCTCCGCCTAATATAGAAATGAACATCTGTGGTCTACTGGCTTTTGTTTAATAATGTTTTTTATTTTCTCTCATTTTGTTATTTTGTTTGTTTTTGCTGCCCTTTGTTGATTCTGTTACTTATTTTTTATTTTATTGTAAAATAAAAATGTTTAACTTAATAAGCAGTTAAAAAATATATTATTATTTAAATCTAGATAGGGTCGAAGCCTGGCATTTATAATTTTACCTTAGATTTGTTTATTTTCTCTTTTTTAAGCACAACCCCACTTTGCATGACAAGACACCCTAAATGTAGTTATGCTCTTGTTAGAGTAGAAACAAGCAAGGCTGAATTCAGACCCGACATATTGGCAAGAAGCAAGTAATATTAACATTTTGTTCTTGAAACAAACTAAGTATTCAAGCTGAATAGACTAGTGTTTGAGGCCAGCTGTTAGCTTAAATATTACAACAGCCAAGAGGATAAAATCACTTTTGCTATGAAGAGGAGTCGTTGAAATTTTCAGATTTTTTCTAATATAGATTTCTTTCATATGACTTTGTTTCTTTTAAAAAATATTAGCATAAATCATTTTATTAAAAATAAAACATGCATGTATGATATTTGAGAGATTAATAAGGAAAGAAGAGTAGAAACGTATATATTCTTATAACAAACTTTAATTCTAAGTGGGTTTAACAAATACTAAAATGCGAGGATAAAAAAGCACATAGTTTTGCTCAAAAGCTTAAATAAAAATAAAAAAAAATGTTGGGTTGAATTGACTTAAAATAAAAGCACCTCAAAAAAAGGCAGGCCAAGTTGGTTGCTTTACAGGCATAATTACATTTATGCTGTATTGCATATCTTTTTTCAAAACCTGCCTAACTAAGCCTTAAGGTTACTGAGTCATGACTCACCACCATGTCGTTCCTGGAAACCCAACAGTCTGGTGGAAAGTCTTGCAGCATGGGAACCATGAAGGTCAGGCAGCCATCCCAATGGCACAACAGCAGCATCATACCAATCAAGTTGACAATACGCACCACAGCGCTGGCCAGGTCATAGGTCATATGGAAGATCTGTTGGAGGGGAAGTTAGACTGAGTTCAAGATCAGTTTATATAAAGTACATCTAGGATGGTACTGAGTCAACCAAAGAAACAAAACAAGGTGATTTAAAAAAGCAGAAACTAAGTGAAGATGATTGAAGATGATTTTTTGCAATCACGATGTGATCCCCAAGGTATGTAGAGCACACATATGTCCCATCATATTAATAAAACATGTTGACTAATGCTGACTAAAACATTAAACATTCTATTAGAATATAAAATTTACAATTAAATAGTTAACTAATAAAATAATAAAAATTAATTAAATCTCATGTATTTTTAGAGGGTTGCCAGTCTGCATATTTTTGGGAATCCCTGTTTTAAACGATAGCTAAGAATTGGACAACAGTCTTGAGTGTTGCTTGAATCAAGAAGCACATGGATCACAAGGCTCCTTAAGTCAGTGAAAGCATGACATTTAAAACCGAGAAAAGATTACAAACCGGTGAAGCAATTTTGCTTTCTGTCACATACCTCCTCCCACTGATGGATGTACCGGATGAGACGGGAGAGTCGGAGAAGACGCAGCAGGCTGAGAATCTTGGTGAAGCGTACAATCCGGAGAGCGCGGGCGGTTCTGTACACATCAGATGATTCATGCCGGGACTCAAGATCAATAATTAGAAAGATGTAGTCAACAGGGATGGAGGAGATGAAGTCTACCAGGAACCAGGTGCGGAGGTAATTCATCCGGATCTCTTTGGGGTCCAGAATAATCTGGCTGTCCTCTCCCGGGATCCCCGTCCTAAAGTTGAAAACCAGATCCATGAGGAAGAGGGTGTCGGACAGGAAATTGAATGTGATCCAGGGCAAGGTGTTTTGATCCTCAAAGAAGGTGATTCCCCAGGGCAAGATGACCAGATTGCCCATCATCAGGAGAAGCATCACAAGATCCCAGTAAAACCTACACAAAATAGGAGAGAGCAGTGCAGTTATCTCTATAGCTCTGTGATGATACTACTGAACCTTCTGATTATACTGTAACAAAAAGGAGATTAAAATTGTAATAGAGCCAATTAAATGTTGGCTTTATTCATTTTCTTTTTACAAATATCCTCCTCATTAATTTACAGCAATATTGATACAACATCTACAGTTATATTGACTTCTGACTTCTATACATCACTGCTTAAATTCTGACTGCTTGGTTATAAAAGTCTTCACAGTGCCGTCTTTTCCCCACTGATTATATAAACCAATAATGATAGTCCTCTCTGTTGACCTTTATTATTACCGTTTATGAAGGTACACTTTCAGAAAAGCTTCTATAAACTCTAAAACACTAGCAAACCTTCATAAACTCTCTGTCAAGCATCCAGCCATGGTCATTGCGCAGCAGCTCTCCTTCAGTAATAGGCTGTATGTATGGTTTAATTGTGTCTTTTATAAAGAAACAATTGGTCTCCATCTCCCGATACGCTCTCACCTGTGTCCGACCTTTTCAGACATCTTTTTCTGACTCCCACATTGCAGCATGGCATAGACAATTCATGTTTGCAGTTTGAAGAACATTTGCTTGCTTCTGATGATTTCCTTTAGCTAATCAATGAGTGTTTGCGTTATATGACTCATCCAATTACACTAGTTTTCACTAGATGTGGATGGCCCCGCTGATCTGCATTGGATGACGCATATGACGTGAAATAAATTTTTATAAACATAAAGGTGAAGCCAAGAGTAACGAGTTTGTTTTAAAAATGTAAGGAGTAGAAAGTACAGATGCTTGTGTGAAAATGTAATGAGAAGAAGTCAGAAGTAGGAAGATAAATAAGTAATAGAGTAAAGTATAGATACTTAAAAAATTTACTTAAGTACAGTAATGAAGTATTTGTACTTTGTTACTTGACAACTCTGCAGAGTGTATACAAAATGACAATAAAGTTTTTCTAAGTCTAACCTCACAAACCCCCCCGTTTTAAAGTGTTTACAAATAATAAATCAGAATTCATGAAAATTACACTGATAAAATGTTTACCAATATAGACATGTTAGACATCGTTGGAAAGTTTCAATTCAACCACCTAGTTCATTTTATGGACGTAGAGAGCACCAAAGCACAATTAGCACAGATATAGCAGCATGTCAATATGTACCATGACAAAGCAAGCATGTCTTTATAACTGCTGTTCAAAAAATACCCATTGTTTTCGAGAATCAAAAAAACAACTTTGAGTCTTGTTTGAACTGATGCAGCTTGGGCTTGATGCAGCTTGGGTGTTTCACTCATCACATTTTCATGTACGGTATCTATTCAGAAACTAGAAGTTGTTAGATTTCAAATAATGTATAACACATGTAATTTGGCCTTACAGCTCCTCAGTTATTTGCTTTTTTATTTTGGTATGGAAAATAGACGAGAATTTCCCAAAATGAGGTGGATATTAAGAGGCTAAAGGAGGTTTCATGAATTTATTTAATATTTCCTAACTTTGTTGAACTTACAAAATAGGTTCAGTTCTGAGTACACAGTTTCTAAAGAGAACCTGAAACACTCTTCTATCTATGGATGGATGGATGGATGGATGGATGGATGGATGGATGGATGGATGGATGGATGGATGGATGGATGGATGATGGAGAAAAATGTTAACAATATACAGATAAACTCGTCTACTACATTCTGCTTCCATGTTCACTAGACCCTGAAAGTATCACACTTTTACAGATTTTTCCCAAACTGTGTAGGACCTTTGTTATTAGCTTACCAGAAGTTACTGATCAATTTACTTTATTAGCACAGTATATAATTTTTGGTTAATACAGATATTTAACAAAATACCTTTTTTTTTCTTTTACCCCTTTCTGCTATATGTGGACTGAGAGCTTTAACTGTTAAAGAGCAAAGGCCCAAATCATCGTTTAGAAAATAAAAAAAATTTCAAGAAAACTCTTTTAAAGTCTTGGAAAGACCCAACCACAGTTAAAATAAAAGCGTTAAATCTTTATGGATTTGCTCACTGAGATAAAATATCCTCCCTTCATAGAATGACAGGTTGCTGAATGATTTAATCTTATCTTTTAAACCTGTAGATTAAATTATAAGGTCATGGCTTTAAAAAAGTCATTCCACTGAGAGCGCTGAGCCTCACCCTTCTCTTTATTCTCTGAACATTTCCTGACACAGGAGTAACCTGTACCATTAAAAATAAATACAGTTTGTCTCATAGGGAGACTTACATGTCAAACACGGCAATGAACAAAAGAACGTATCACTCAGTGGAAATGTCAGCCTTGCGGCTTTACTCTTTATTTGCATCCAACACGTTCTACTGGCCTATGTTTCTCCAGTGTCCCGTTACAAACCAAGGATTTCCTTACAGATTGTTTACATCAAGTACAGATTACTTTACTGGCCCTCTTTCACTCCTTTATTACTCAGGCACGGTACCAGAATATCAGTCGGACTCATTTTAATGGAAGCACTGAGAAAGTGTCTCTTTTCCTCCATCCAGTCCAGGAGGAGATAAAGAACGAGTTGATTGAGATTCTTGTTTTCTTTCACATTTGTTCATCCTCCAATCCTCTTGTGGCTGTGTCCTCCATGTCAACACGCCGGTTTACAAGACTACTTATGTTACAACAGATTAACGGCTACTTCCTGCTGCTAATAATTCACCATGACTGTGGATGGCTTTACAGCTGTCGACATGGACTTGTCCACATTTATGCAAGCTTAACGTGCAAGAGTAGTTTCAGCTGCACAAAAAAAAGCTTTTAGACAAGCTATTAAGGGTTCATATTGTGAGAAATGCAGCACTGATTTGTCATGAGTTGCATACATTAAGCTAGAGCACCTTGCAAAAGTGTCTGAACATTTAGATAGAGAATAAATTAAAACATTAATTCATATTAAATGGAGTTTATGTTATTGACAAACAAATATTTTTGCATAGTTTTGACGTGTAGGAAAATTATAGGCTGTTTAAAAATACTTTTTTTAAATCAAAGAATGTCTGCATTCAGTGTTTCCTGAATTAGTATTTTGTAGAGCAGCCATTGGCTAAAAAATACCCCTGCAAGTCTTGTAAAATATGTCTCCTCCAATTTTGCTCATCTGAAAACAGTTTTCCTTATTTTTTTTCTTTTTTCTGAGTCGTATAGGATGGGGAACATCTCTCAACGTCTGTTTCCTACTTTTTTTTAACAATAACTTCAAGGTCTGTAGTTTGACTATGACATTTTAGATTTAGACTTAGATAGATTTTATTTGTCATTTTGTATACACTTGTGTAAAACAAAAAGAAATTTTGTTTGTCTGGACAATTTCATCTTTTTTAAAACTGCAACCTTGAAAAATAGTAAAAATGACTGTAAATTTATAGTTTTAAATTATACTTTTTTTTTTTAGTAGATATTTTAGCATTGCAGTTCATTTATTCTACACCATTGCTTTTTTTAGCTATTTATTTAGGAGTGCTTGAAGGTGAGCCATTGCAGTCTTTAGTATTTTTCATTTAATTACATTACATTTCACCTGAGCTTTGAATTTCTGCAGCCTCTCCGAGGTTACCATGTGCATTTTGACGATTTCTCTTAATAAGGTGCTGTTTACCTGTCTTGCTGTTCAGGTTAACGACCATTTTTTCGTAGGTTTACGGTCCTGCCATACTCCTTCCTTTCAAAGGTTATGGTGTAGCCTTTAGCTCTCACGGATATCTAGGGCTGAGGATTTTATTTTATCTTCTAAAACTGCATTATACCTGAACTCCTGTCTGCTGGTGTGTTCTCTGTTTTCATCAAGCTGCTTGTTCTTAGCTTTCTTAGGGTTTCACAGAACAGTTTTTTATGATGAAAAAAATAAAAACATGGGAGCCCTGTTTAATTAAATTTGTTCATCTGTATCACATTTATAAGTGCAGCATGCAAACCACACTTTGCATACATGTTTATAACACAAAACATGTTATTTCCCTTTCAATTTACAATTTTTGTCTCTTTTTGTCATTTTTATCTATAATTAAAAATTCTACATTAAATACATTTGGGAGGTTTGGTCTATTTGTGACTAAATATCTTTACCAACGAGCATCATATTTTTCAACTTTTACTGGGTCATTTAACAGGAACCCATGTGTCCTTGAAACCTAAACTAAACTAGAGCAGTGCTGTTCCATCTGGTCTATTATAAAGGAGGAAGCTGGACCATAAGGTCCAAGGAAAGCAGGCTCTCTGTAATCTCCCCCTCAGCTGTCTGTGTATTATTGCATAATAGAGCAAGATGGGAATTATGGGGATTCTTATGGGCATTAATCCCCATAACCGGGTTTATCCTTCCTGTTTGGCATAGGCCTGATGGTTAAAAAATGTACAAATCTGATGCCAGCTATTGTTAATGACTTTACATTAAGGCAGCTCAGGATTTACAGTTAAGATAATGTTATCTAAAAGTTTAACAGTCCAACTAAGTTTCCCTAAGGTAAGGCTGAGCATGGGTACAACAACAATAATTGTTCAGTTAAAACTATCAGGGTCAATAAAATGAATCCGCCTCTTCCTATAATAGAAAAAATTGAGTCATGGTAGAGTTGCACCATTAATCCACTTGATCTCGCCCTAAATACTGTATCATTAATCAAATCCCCTCATCTTCTTATCATGTGCTATGAACCATGACATCAGCTGATGTCCTTGGAGAACTGGACGTCACAAGCTGCTTGGGGGGCTGGCTTTACTGCTTTCAAGGGAGGTTTGTAGAAAATAAAGATACATTTATACCTTAAACATAACAGATACATTTCATAAAATGCTTGGCTGATTTTGTAGTTTAAATCATGATCTTAATGATCACCCAAACCCTAGATTACCTGAAATCACTGTAGGGGTGGATGATCCACACTCCAAAGCTCTTGACCCTTTCCTGCTCTGCTGCAACCCCCTTGTGGCTGCCGAACATGCGCAGGGAGAACTTGTTGACTCCAGGCTGTAACATAGAGCCGAACTGCTTCTGAAAGTATGTGGACTGATCCTCATTGAGGTCTTCCAGGCCTCCTTCAGGCTCTCCATCCTCATCCAGGGTGCCGTCCGGGTCTGCTGTGTAGTCGTCATTGTGGGTCTTGACAAGGGAGAAGAGTGTCCTGGATACGTCACTTCTCTTCTGTGTCTTTGGAGAAGGGGTGCCTGGAGGACTCGTCCTCTGAGAACTGCTTCTCCATTTGGCGAAGCGGAGGCTGCTCCAGCTGCGGTACCTGGGGATCTCCGGTTTGTGAGCTGGGCTTTCTCCAGTTCCTCTCTGAGCATCTATACTCCTAGAAGGGCTTGTCATTTCTGTACAAAAAAAAAATATCTCTTGTATAATTCCTTTAATCTTTCTCCTGACTTAAATGTTTCATTTACTTTCTAAAAAAGTTTTTAAGGTCCACCTTAATAGTTGGTGCCTGTTGGTTTTAAATAATCTTGGGAGAAAAAACAACAACTTTGAAACGCTTTGAGATTTTAAAAATAAATAACCCTAAGAATGTTGTAAAGAAAGTAAAAGCCTGAAAGTAAAAAAAAGAAGTTATAAAGTTGATGCCTCCCAGGAAAACTTTTGATGAAGGAATTCTGCTTCCTGAAAACTTCAGCCACAGCTGTGTCCTCCTCTCGAATGACCAGGAGAGGATGGATGCAAATTGCCACAGAGGACTCAGTGGCCTTCTGTAATCGGCTTTTTGTCACAGCCGCGTCTACTCAACCCTCTTCCTCCCTCCCTCCCCCTGTGGTGGAAGTGCCCCCCTCCCCTCCTGATAGGCAAGTCCCAGGGTGGCCTTATGTTACACGGTGAAGATGAGGAATAATCAGGTCAGTAGGAACAAAAAGGCGTAATGAATTACTCATCACTAATGAACAGGTTTTGAATGTGGAGCCTACCACTTGAAGTAGTACTATTGTTATAATGTATTAAGTAGTACTATCATAAGTAATACTATTTCATACCAGGCAGGCTCATAGTTTCCTAAAATAATGTGATCATCTCACTGCACAACATTATATGAATCAAGTCCTTTTCTAAATAGAACTGCATTGCTTTATCCTTAGAACTTTTAAATATCTTTAAAAAAAAATATTGTTTTACAATAAAAATTTTAAATTTATGATTTTTATCAATACTAAAGTTGTTAAATGAAATGAATATTTTAATTGTGCGGGTTATTTAGGCTGAGCCTGTAACCACCTGACCTTTTAGTATGAATTTAGATTTGAAGATGAAATAGGCAGGTGGCTCAAAATAAACGTTCAGATTCAAATGTATCAGTGCCTCATTTTACAAGTGGAAAAATCAGAAATTTAGCAGGCATGAAAACATCCATCGTGGGGAGACCTTTTGAAAAGTTGGACAAATCTTAAAGCTACATAATGCACGGTGACAGTGGTAATTCTATTTGAAAAATAAGTTTTAAAGGTATAGTGAAGGAAGTTATTTTTCTGGGTGGATCATCAAAATAGGTGGTCCTCCTAAACGTCAATCATTCTCATGATATGTTTACGTAAGACTGTCCTACAGTATGTGCTCGTCCCTATTTTCACTTACCGGTGGTGAGTTTGACATAGTTAAAAAATTACAAATATTCTTTTGGAAAGTAGGCTTGTATGAGCGATGCACAAGGAGAAATGGGCTCCTGCATGCTCTTTAATAGGCGTTTAATAGGCGTTTAATAGGCGTTTAATAGGCGTTCCCTCTTGGGAGCGACGGAGGGAGGGGAAAAACAGAAATGCAATAGAACCATGTGATACTCTAAGAAATGTTGGTTTAACCTGAAATGTTAACTGCAAAACTGCAAAAAGGGTCATGTTTTAGACTTGATCATCTCTAAGGATCTAAATATTTCCAGAATGTGTGTCACTGATGTTTCTTTATTTTACCACTTTCCTGTTATTTTTGAACAAATTATTTCAAAATGTCTCTAAAGAGACTTCACAAGAAAAGGCATCTCTAAGGATGGTGATACTGAAACCTTTAACCAGATTTACTCATCTGGCTCCACTTTGCCTTCTCACTCTGTTCAAGAGCCGGTAGAACACTTATTCTAAAATCTGACATCATTGCTCCAGTTACTGCAGTTAAATTGAAGGTTGTCTCTTGGAAAAAAAAAAAGTCTCTGTGGAGAATTGCTCCACTAGTCAGAGGTTAAAAAAGGGACAGCTGTATGCAGATGGTAAAAGTCTGGGCTCCAGGTTAATTTATATGCATTTTACATCTATAGAAAGAGACTTCATAGATATAACATATAAATGAAAAAATGCAAATCTTTCTTCTCTGACACCATTAGCAAACACCAGTCTTGTCTTATTTGCCATGGTCGACAGGCTAACAAACCCTGGTGACATCTGAATTCCACTCAACCAGGGCTCTCTAACAAATTTCCTAAAAGAAGAATAAATAGAGGGGCAGTCAGTACATCAATATCATGTCCAGATCCAAAGTTGCCTCCAACTAGGACTGAACTAAAAACTTCCCAATTTTGCAAAATAACCTACAAAACCTTTGAAGACAGTAATACAGTAACTAACCTCTTCCCTCTGCTATCTCCATATTTTCGTTGAGAAAGTTCTGCCTGTCATAAAATCGGATTTATCTCAAATAATAAACATTTCCCTTTAGTCAGATATTTTCTCCTTGTGCTCTTAAACCAGCAATTGTCAAACGGCTGTTGAAAAAAAGTAACTTGGACAAGCTGCTACTGCAGAGCTACAGGCCTCTCAAACCATCATTAAATTAATAAGATCATTGAAAAAGCTTGGGGGAGTGGCAGCCTAGTGGTTAGGGCATAGAACTTGTAATCCTGAGGTTGTGAGTTTGAAACCCACACCTGCAGACTACCACTCTGGCTCTCTGAGCAAGACCCTAAACTCCTGATTGCTCCCCAGGTGCCCCACAATAGCAGCCCACTGCTCCCCAAGGGGATGGGTTAAATGCAGAAGTAAATTTCTCCAATGTGAGATCAATAAAGTTCAATCAGTTTTATATTCAACAGCTAAATTACCTTCACAACAATGACCAGCTGCTTTATTGTCTTCAGGTGAGGCCTCAGTCTTTAGTTCTTATGCTCCACTGATCTGGAATAAACTGCAAGAAAATTGTAAAAGCACTGAAATCTGGTTGTTTTAAATAAATAAAAAATGTATTTGATTGAGTGGCCTTTGACAGTGCTATCTCAACATTATTAGTTAAGTTTTCAGTCACACCTTAGTTTTTTTCCGAATCATCTTATTTTGTTTACCCTGAGATCGCATTTCAATCATTCACTTTCATCATCTTTAATTATTTTGTGTTGTCTTTGTGCAACTGCAGTGCACATTCCTTTTATCATGTGCAGCACTTTGATCCCACTGGAATGTGCTATGTAAACAAACTTGCCTTGTCTTACCAGTTTTGGTCCATGTGACAGACATCATTTTTCATTTTAAGGCTAGGCTTATAACTTTTCTTTTTCATAAAGCTCATANATTTGTTTCTTTACGGTAAAGTACCGGCAGCTGTGGTTGCCGAAAAACACCCGTAAAAATA